TATTTAATTTATAGACCCTTTTTGACACTGCCAGGTCTCATTTGTGGTCTGTTTCTCTGCTTATTACAAGGATTTGCTTTTATTAGTCCAGTGTAGGGGCTGCCAGGTTCTATTTCTCCACAGATAACACTTGCTTTCTTTAAATAGTAAAATATATAGTACATAGGAACCTCTTTTTAGCTGTTTCAAAGAGATATAGAAACATGTCTTGAAGTTAGAATCTCTTCTAATGAAATGATTAATTTTTTTCCAATGTGGCCTGATCTGAAAGATGTCTCAGAGAGATCATCTATGTAGTCCAGACAGGCAAGCAAATCATCTGCACTTGCATATTAAGTCAATGGCAGAAGACAGCCAGAATCAGCCTGACATAGAAACTAAGGCTTTGTGCTGCTTCATTTTTCCCACACAGTAAGAGGAGGGCAGCAAGGTTAGAGTGCAAAAAAAGGAGGGGTCCTGGATGTGGGTAGTGTTGGAGTGATTGTCTGATGTGCACAAGGTTCAGTCCCAGCACCAGAGTTAAAGAGATGGCTTGGTGATTAAGAGTGTTTGCTGCACAAGCGTGAAGACTGCCATTTGGATCCCAGTACCCAAACAAAAGCTGGACCTAGTCCTGCACACAACTGTGACCCCAGAACTGAAGGGCTGAAGACAGGATAACTGCTGGGACTTTGTAGCTGCCATTCTAACTAAGAGAGGGAGAGAAAGAGAGAGAAAGAGACCCTGCCTCAAAGGAACAAAGTGGGGAGTGACAGAGGAATAGAGGATACCCAACATGTCCCTCTGGCCTCTGTGAGCGTGCACAGGTGCACAGCTCCACACCAGGAAAAAATGAGAGTGAGGGGGTGAAAACAGGCTGCAAAGATGAGACAAGTCTCTCCCAGTGAACTGAACACGAGAGAAAGAAACTACAGATTAAAAGGGTTATTAGCTCCAGACATACCACTAATAATTTAATGGTCACCATCAGATACTGATTACCCTAAGAACCAGTCAGAATTTCTGTCTGTCTTGTTACATGTCACAATAATTCAGGTAGCTGGAAAGAGAGGTAGAAAGGAAAACAAAAGCCAAAGTAGGACCAGAATAGGGCGAGGAGACTGAGTACACTCAGTCAGTGGGAAAGCCTACCTGGGTAATGGTCCTGGGATTGAAATAGGGAGTGAAACCTCCAGATAGGGAATTGACTTTTGGGAAACCCCTCAGTACAAGGAAAGAAGAACTGCAGCTGGCAGTGTTAAGAACCATTAGGAGCTGGGTGTGGTACACACCTTTAATCCCAGCACTCAGGAAGCTGAGGCAGAGGCAGGCAGATCCCCAAGTATGAGACCAGCCTGATCTACAAAGTGAGTTCCAGGCCAGTCAGGGATACACAGTCTCAAAAGACAAACAAAACAGAACAAACTTTATAACTGCCAAGTATTTCCTGACCCATCTGAATGGTTTGAGGACATCACAGGGTAGTTGTTTTTGTTGTTATTTTGTTTTTGCCTAGTGTGTCAGGCATAGAGGTCTCAATAATGGAATCTCCTCTGCTGTTCAGTTATAGAAGTATTTGGCTAAGTCAGAAAACTATCCAACTGTGAGTATCCCTTCAAGATTTTCCCAAGTCTACCCTTAGCTCATAACAGTTCTCAAACTTTGAATCTTGTCTAGTGTTCCAGCCATCAGCCTGCCTATGAGCGGCTTCCCACGTGGGAGGACTGTGCCTCTCCCACCGAGCCCTCCCTGCTCTTCTGTTTATCACAGAATCACACCTGTATGCTTGTAGGACAGAGCAGGAAGATGTCACCCCTTATCTCCCTACTTGAGAGTTCACTCCAAGCCTTGACTCTTGGCTGCCAGGGAAGCATACTGCAGGCTCCTTCTAGTGTCTCCTTATTTGGATTTCCCGAGGACAAAGTGAGGCCAGGAATTCTCAGGTTCCTGAAAGATGCAGTTGATCCTGGTCCTTTTGAGTTCAGTGCTGTATGACACTAGGATAACTAGATGACCTTTAGTGTTTCTTTTGGTCTCAAAAATCAGTCTGATTTTCTTTTTAATTTGGAAATAGAAACAACTGGGGTGAACTGGACTTGATGCCATAGTTCACTCAGCTTGTTCAAATTGCATGAATTCTTTAACCAGGTTATTTTTAATTCCCAGGCATAATGGACGCCTAAAATGCCTCAAGATAATTATAATTAATTATATTTATAATTAATCTTGATATTCATTAATGCTTGTTTTGTTTTTTGAGACAGTATCTCATTAAGTAGCCTTGGTTGACCTGGAACTCAATATATAGAGGAAGCTGGCCTTGAACTCTCAAATACAGCTGTGACTGCCTCCCGTCATTAATGCTTTTTAAATGCTGCCAAATTCTCTTACAGCTTCTTTCTCCCCAGTGTTCACAGGGGATACTGGCTCTGCTTTTGGGAGCTAGCAAAGAAGGTAAATGAGTTTTTCCTAGTCAGAAATTTAGTGTTCCTAAGGGTGTAAGAAAGTGTCTACTACATCAGTTCTGAGTCCCTGGGAAGTAGTAGACATCCCTAGCTGCCCTGGAAGTTGTTCTGTAGCCCAGGCTGGCCTCAAACTCAAGGAGATCTGTCTGTCTCATTCCTTAATAGATAGCACATCCAGGAAGTTGGAAAAATTACTTTTGGTATTTCTATGTCTAGCAATGTCTATGAGGAAAGGATATTTTGACTTTCCTGTTCCTTGCTCTGCACACAATCCACTAGTATGAGTTTGTGTTCCTTAGCTCAGAGCACTATAAATTGGATTACCCAGCTCTGGGTAGTAGAAATACCTTTTCAGGCTGGGGACTTGGAGGAGATGAGCTGGAGTCCTCCCTCCTGTTGCCAGGTCTCTCTGCATTCGCACTTTAACTGCTCAGTGTTTCTGACCGTACTGGGCTTATTTGTGACAATGATGTATCAATAAATTGGAATCTTTCCCTGTGGGAAAAAGAAAGAAACACTGTCTTGAAACCCCATCCCAATAATTTATTATTATTATTACTATTATTATTATTTGAGACAGGTTTCCTCTGTGTGGTCCTGACTGACCTTGAACTCTGCCTGCCACTGCCTGCCAAGTACTGGGATTAAAGATGTGTGTCATCATACACAGCTGGATTGTTTTTTAAATAGTTCTTTTTCTTTTCTTTTCAATTCTCTTTTTTCTTTTCTTACTATCCCTGATTGATCTGGAACTATTATGTAGACCAGGCTGGCTTGGAACTCAAGGAGATCTGATTACTTCTGCCTTCCAAGTTTTGGGATTAAAGGTGTGTGCCAACATGCTTAGCCTAAAAATTAATTTTTTTTGTTATTGTTGTTGTGTTTTCGAGACAGCTTTTCTCTTTGCAGCCTTGAGTGTCCTGGAATTCATTCTGTAGACCAGGCTGGCTTTAAACTTAGAGATCTGCTTGCCTCTGGCTCCTGAATACTGGGATTAAAGGCGTGTACCATAACAGCCTAGCAGAATTAAGTTTCTTAATGCACACATGTTAAAGGAAATCATGTATGCTCTTTCCCTGGTTTTCAAGTTATTCCTTTGATGTTCAATATTTACTAAATTTTCATGTGTACTGGTCAATTTTTGTTGTTTAAGAAACGTTGGTAGAGCCGGGGGGGGGGGGGGGGGGGGGGGGGGGGGGGGGGGGGGGGCCCGCAGGCTGGGGGGGGGGGGGGGGGGGGGGGGGGGGGGGGGGGGGGGGGGGGGGGGGGGGGGTGGTGGTGGTGGTGGCGGCGCACGCCTTTAATCTCAGCACTCAGGAAGCAGAGGCAAACTGTGAGTTTGAGGCCAGCCTGGTCTGCAAGAGCTAATTCCAGGACAGTCACCAAAGCTACAGAGAAACCCTTTTTTTTTCTCAAAGAAAAAAAAGAAAAAGAAAAAAGAAACTTTGGTAGAACTCAGTTTAGAATATCTGTGGCTGCTGTAATTAACATGCAGGTATATGTGGGCTTTACTTTTCCTTATGGGTTGGACTTGGCCTCACTTGTAGATTAACTCAGTTTTGTCCTTGTTCATTCTGAGGCCTAGGCAGAGGCAGCAGATTCCTACAGGAGCTATTCTCACTGTGATAGAAAAGGTTTAAGAGTGCAAACCCAGACAGGTAGATATATTCATGTTCTGTGTGCATCATTTTCAGTAACATTTTACTGACCAGTGAAAGTAAGATAGATAGGGCTTTGGGTTGTTGAAGTGTATTCTGTCCATAATATTTAAGTAACACATTCATCAGCTGGGAAGGAAAAATACACCTGGACGTAGAGATTGAGGCAGAAGGTAGCAGTTCTTTTTGTTGTTTGTTTGTTTCTTAAGTATAACTTACTACAGTTTGAGATAATAACCACTTCTAGTTCTGGAACGTTCTACATATATCGAAGAATCATCTGTAGACTGGTATTTATAGGCTATGTTTGCTTAACCTACTTTTTTTAGGATTTATTTTTATTTTATGCATGGATGTTTTGCCTGCATGAATGTATATGGACCATGTGTCTCAGGCCAGAAGAGGATGATTTTTCTGTAGCTAAAATTTCATATAGTTATGAAGCACTATGTAGATGTTAGGAGCTGAGTCTTGGTTCTCTGTAAGAACAACAAGCACTTAACTGCTGAGCTATCTCTCCAGCCTGTTTTGGCTGGCTGACTGGCCGGATTGCTTGCTTGCTTGCTTGTTTGTTTGTTTGTTTGTTTATTTATTTATTTATTTATTGGCAGGGTTTCACTGTGTAGCCTGTCTTTCTGGTTTGTTATTTATTTATTTATTGACAGGGTTTCACTGTGTAGCCCTGTCTGTCTGGAACTAGCTTTGTGGATCAGGGTGGCCTGAAATTTACAGATATCTGCCTGTCTCTGCCTCTCAAGTGCTGGGATTAAAGACATGTGCCACTACTTCCCAGCTTGGCAATTTTTAATAACAATAGACTTCTATTTTTTTTGAATTATGTATTCTCAGTAACTTGTTTTGCTTTAGCTACAGAGCTCTCTCTCTCTCTTTTTTAAAGGTTTCCAAATATACAGAAGTAATTAGAAACATCCCTTAGAGGCATCATCAAGAAACTTGAAAAGGTAAAACAGCATTTCCATTTCATTAAGGTAAGTGGCTTCTAACTTCATTAATTTTGTATATTTTGAAACGATTAAAAGACTAGATATATTTTATATTTTTAGGGAAGTTTTAAGTTTTATTTTTAAAATTATTTGTTTTAACTTTGTATGTATGAATGCTTTGCATATCTGAATGTATGTATACCATGTACTTGCTTGTTTGATCTACTGGAATTGAGGTTATAGTTGTGGGTGCTGGAAATCGAACCTGGATCCTCTGGAGGAGCATATCCATTTCTGACTTGGACCTTGTTATGTAGGCTAAACTGGCTTTGATCTGGGTGCTGAGATTAAAAAGCATGAATATAACGTCCAGCTTAAAATTTTTATTTTATGTTATATGGATAGGTGTTTTGCTTGTGCACGTCTGTGCACCACTGCATTTGGAGCCTATAGGGTGGCATCAGATTCTGCAACTGGAGTTATAGATGGTTGTGAGCTTCCCTGGGGGTGCTGGAAACCTGGGTTGATCCTTTGGAAGGACAGCTAGTGCTCTTAACTATGATCGCTTCAGCTCCTACTCTTTTTCATTCACTTATTCATTTATTTTTTAATCTACTTGTTTTTTTAGTACATATATGAATGTGTGTGTGTGTGCCTGTAAGAGTATGTGAATGGAGGTCAGGGAAATCAATTCTACCATGTGGGTTCTGGAGATCAAAGTGAGGTCAGGCCTTAGACTTGGTATCAAATCCTGCTGACCTATCTTGTATAAATGTAATAAAACATTAAAGTAGCTGTGTAATGAAAAGTAAGCTTTTCTCAGCACTGGTCTCATAGTTTGTTTTTCCAGAAATAATAACTGTTTTCTTCTGCAGTCCTACATATATTATGTACATAAACATGGCTCTGTGTGCTGCTTCTTCACTTACCTGCACAATGTTCCATCCTGTTCTTTACCTTGCCTTTTTGGTTTAATTATTGTTTTTTTGGCTGTTAGAACCTATCAGTTTTAGTTTATTTGTTTAATACCTTTATCAGATTATAAATTATATGGTAAAATTTTGCTTTTTAAAGTTGGATTTCTTAAAGATTAAATTTGGTGTGTTTTAACAGACTCTTATGGAAATCAGCACCACATTCAAGATAACATTTCCATCACCCCTTAGATTAAATCATTTCCTCCTTGATATTTAACCCTTGACTATAACTGATCTGCTTTCTGTCACTATAAAACTTGATTTTTATATAATTTCATGAAAAGTAGACTCTTACAATGTGTTGTGTATAGCTTCTGCTGCTTAGCATGGTTATGAGCTTCATCCTTGTTCTTTATCCCTGCATGTTCTTTGGTTTACTGGGTAGTTTCTACTGTAGTGACATGTCACTTTTGTCTCCCATGACTTATGGGTTGTTTCTCAGGTACTTTGGGGTTTTCAGATTTTGGTTATGGTACATTTAACTGTTCTGAAGATTTTTGAACCAGTCTTTCTTGTGGACTTAGTGAATGGAATATTAAAGATCTTCCTGCCTAAACTTCGATTAGAATAGCCAAGATTTTCTCTCTTTTTTTTTTTTTTTCAAAAAAGTTTGATAATTTTACATTTAGGTCTTTGATCAGCCTGAAATTACTTTTGTGTGTAGTGGGAGCTGTGGGCTGCGTTCCTGCCACCCAGCTCCCAGCCGCCTGGCTAGCTTATGCCCCAAAATAACAACACACAAACTGTATTCATATAAACACTGCTTGGCCCATTTCTATTAATGTGTGTAGCACCGTGAGGTGAGCTTACCAGGAAGATTCTAGCCTACGTCCATCCTGGGTCGGAGCTTCATCTCCTCTGCCTCAGAGAGGAGAGGTGTGGCTATTGCCTCACTTCCTCTTCCTTCCAGCATTCTGTTCTGTTTACTCCACCTATCCAAATTCTGCCTTATCAGATGGGCCAAGGCAGTTTCTTTATTGACCAATGAATTCCCACATCATTTGTGGGTTGTCTGAGGTAAGGAATGATGAAGATGTTCTTGTTTTTCCTATTTTCCTGCTTCTGCTGCTGCTTCCCATCTGTCCAGTACTGGCACAAGTTGAAGACTTGTTTCCATTGATTCGCTGTGTTGAAACCATATTCTTGTGGAGTGGCACAGGCCTATAATTCTAGCTCTTAGAAAGTTAAGGCAGGCCATTGGGGCCAGGCCGATCTGAGTGGTCTGTGAGGCCATGTCTGGTTCCATGGCCCTATAACAGCCAGGTTATGAGTTGATGTCTGTGGCTCCTGTTACCATCAAGGGCTGAGCAGATTCCTGGAGTCCAGGCAGCCACCTGAGACCATGTTGGTGTCTGAGGGCCATATTGCTGCCAGTGCCGTACTGATCTGGGTGGCCTGTGCTATCACAGGAGCCGTGGTAATGTCTGGGCCTGATCTGCTGCTGTGGGCCATGTCTGAGTCCATGGTCCTGCTGTACCTGGGGTCTATGCTTATTTGTGTTGTTTATGGCCCATGCTACCACAGAGTTCTATAGGAACCATGCTTGTTGAAATCCTAGGGCCCAGCTGAGCTAGCACTCGCCCTTCACTGCCCCTGGGAGAGCTGGCCCCTATGGCAGGGACCTAGAAGAGCTGACTCTGCCCTTTTGAGAGGGTGGTGATCTCAGTGGCCTGGACTGGATCAGCTACCACCCAGATCCACATCCAGGACTTTGAGTTGGTCCAGCCCAATATCTACCCATCTATGACTTGTCAGTGTGTGAAGGAACTGGTCCTGTGGAACCACAGCTGTAGGATCTCCATATCTAGGGGCAACGACAGGATATCTGAAAGGAGTCCAGAATTAATGAAGTACCAGAAGCCAGAGGCTTTGAATCAGACCAAGCAACTCATTGCAATGAACATTGCAAGTAAAACCGAGTGGACAGAAGGGTGAACTGTGTGGTACATGTTCCTAATGTCACTCAGATGAGTGAAGAGGTGTTGGATGGGCAGGAGAGGCAGGAATAAAGTGATCTTTTTGTTTTGTTTTTAATTTATTAAAAAAATTATTGGGGGGGGGGCTGGAGAGATGGCTCAGCGGTTAAGAGCATTGCGTGCTCTTCCAAAGGACCCGAGTTCGATTCCCAGCAACCACATGGTGGCTCACAACCATCTGTAATGAGGTCTGGTGTCCTCTTCTAGCAGGCATATATGCAAACAGAATATTGTATTCATAATAAATATTAAAAAAAATTATTGGGGGTTTTTGACTGTATGTATGTCTCTGTATTAGTGATGGACCCTGGAGTCATAGACAGTTGTGAGCTGCCATATTGGTGCTGGGAATTGAACCCTGGTTCTCTGGAAGAGCAGTCAGTGCTCTTAACTGCTGAGTCATTTAAAATTTCTTTTGTGGGGTATGCTGTGGCGGGGAGGGCGGGAGGTGGTTGAGGGGTAGATATGAAGGGACTGAGAAATAAGTGGGATTAGGGTACAAGATGTGAAATTCCCAAAGAATCATTAAGAAAAATGCTTTAAAAAATTGAGGCAGCATTAATGATAGTTGAAAGTAAGCTTGGACCGTATACTGAGACCCTGTTGGAGAAGTGGGAATGAAATATGTGTGACTCTACTTCTCCATTCTGTTTTTCTCTGTTGTCAGTGTTGTGTTGATCTGTAGTAAGCTTGGAAATTGGTTATTGTCAGTATTTCAGTGTTTTTTTCTCTTTTTTTTTTGGTAGGGAGACGGCACTGTTGGAGATTGTATTTAGAGTACCACACATACTAGGCGGGTACAACTTCGCTCTTTTAGTTTTTAAAATATTTACTTATTTTTATTGGTGTTTGCCTGTTTATGTGTGTGTGCATTGTGTATGTGTCTTGTGCCCATAGAGGCCAGAAGAGGGCATAGGATGCCCTGAAACAGGAGTCACAGGTAGTTTTAAACTGCCTAGTGGGTTCTGGGAATTGAATCCAGGTCCTCTGCAAGAACACCAAATGCTCCTTATTGCTGAACCATCTCTCCAGCTCTCGTTTCATTCTCTCTTGGTTTTTTGAAGCAGGATTCCTCTGTGTGGCCCTGTCTGTCCTGGATCTTGCTCTGTAGATGGTATGATTAACAGTGTGCTCCACTGTTTTTCTCTTGTTAAAGTAGTTCTTTGGCTTTTCTACATGATTTACATTTCCATAGATTTTTTTTTCGTTTGAGACAGAATCTCATATAGTCAAGGTGACCTGTCTCAAGCTTGCTGTTTAGCCTAGCATGACCTTGGATTTTTGAAACTCCCATTTCTACTTCACAATTTTTGGGATTGTATTTATGCACCACCAAGACTCACTTTGAAAACAAAATTATTTTTTGGGTTGGCATGGTGGTGCACACTTTTAATCCTAGCACTCTGTGACAGATTTCTGTGAGTTCCTAGTCAGCCTAATGGCGTGTGGTAGTTTGAAAAGAATGGCTCTCATAGGCTCCTACTGGCTTATCACCAGGGAGTGGAACTCTTTGATAGGATTATAATGATTAGGATGTATCAGTGTTAGAGGAAGTGTGTAACTGGGGGTGGCCTTTGAGGTTTTAAGAGCTCACGTCAAGGCCAGTTTCCTTCTCTTTGCCTGTGGATCATTAATGTGCCTCTTAACAACTACTGTCTCAGCACCTGCGAGCATACTGCCATGCTCCCCACCACAAGGATAATGGATTAAGCCTCTGAAATTGTAAGCAAGCCCTCAATTAAATGCTTTCTTTTGTAAGAGTTGCCTCGTTCCTGTGTCTTTACAGCAGTAGAACAAGGACTGAGACACATGGTAAGACTGTCGAAATAAAATTTAAAGTCAGGGTGTCATTTTGTGTATAAAACTCTTTGGGGCCAGGTGGTGGTAGCTCACACCTTTGATTGCGGTGCTCAGGAGGCAGAGGCTGGCAGATCTCTGTGAGTTCAAGGCCAGCCTGGTCTGCTGGCGAGTTCCCGACCAGTGGGGCTGTCTCAAAAAACAAACAAACAAAAAACCCACAGACAAATAAATTATTGATTATAATTTAATAATAAATACAAAGCTTGTGGATTTGCTGAGTATTGAGTTGAATCTTGGAACCACTTTGACACAGTTGCATGGTATCTATTGTACAATTATCAATGAATAAGTGATAACTTATTTGTTTGGGTAGTTAGTCTTTGTTAATATAATATTGAAATCAATCTATGCATTTATATAGGTATATTTGTAAAGTCCTAGAAGTAACATTCTTTGAAATTCAGTATTTATAGTTTTTATTTTGTTTGTGTGTGTAGAATGTGTGGGTTTACATGCTTATTGCTTATTGGTATACATGGCCATGTATGTGTGGATACCAGACACCCAGTGTCTTTCTGTATTGTTCTCCTCCTTATTTTTTACTTATTTATTTAGAGACAAGTAAGTGTCTTGCTATGGAGCTCTGACTGTCCTAGAATTCACTACGTAGAACAGGCTGCCCTTGAATTCACAGAAATCCTCCTACTTCTGCCTCCTGAGTGCTGGGATTAAAGGTGTGTGCCACCACTGCTAGGCTAGTCCTTTAGTCTTAATATCCTATTTCTGTTTTGTTTATTATTTGAGGCAGGGATTCCTGTAGCCTAAGGAATTCTGATCAACATGCCTTTATTTCCAAGTGCTGGGATTATAGACTTGTACCACTATACCTGGCTGGAGAATCAAAGTCCTCTGGGATTTTGTGCATTGTAGGCAAGTCACTCTGCCAAGTGAGCTACATTTCCAGCTCTTAATATCTTTTTTTTTAACTTCTGTTTGCTATTTCAGTATTGTTTGTTTAGTTCATAGATTTTCTTCTTTACCTACTAAGTGTTTTAAAGTAAATCAGCTTTACTTAGATATCTTTTTTTTCTGCCTATATATATTTGTAGTTTCTCCTCATACAATTTTACTTTGTTAGTTTAGTACATTTAATATTTATATTGTGAATTGTAATTTGTATTTTAAAACTTTTTTTCACAGTATATAATAGATGTATACTGTTTCAATGAAATTGAATGCTGTATGTGAAATGAGCTTTGGTAAATATTAGACTAATTTGATGAGAGGTTAGTTGATGATTAGGTCTTTATCTTTTTAAGCATTTTAAGTAAGTTGTTTTGGTTTTTTGTTTTTAGGCGCTGTATAATATGTTAAGAAGTTATAAGGGATGGTTTTATCAGATTATCTTGAGTTATGGTGGCTGAAACATCAGTTCTGTCTTGTGGGAAAAGAACTGTAAGTGAATATGGAGTATTCTATATTTTCAATAAGATAAGTTGCTGTTGAAGAATGTATTTGAGAGGGGTTGGAGAAATGACTCAGTGGTTTAAAATAGTTGTTGCTCTTGCAGAGGATCTGGGTTCTATGCCTCGCACCCACATGTTGACTCATAGCCATCCAAATATTGATACTTCCTGTTCCAGAAGATCCATTGTCCCTTTCTGACCTACGGGCACCAAGTATGCATGTGGTACACTTATATTCAGGCAAAATACGTATACACTTAAAATAAGTCTAAAACACGCATAAAAAATGATTTGAAGACTTCACTGTGTTATTCTAAAGAATGTAGTCTAAAAGAAGGAGTTAAATTTTATTTAAATTGGGGTGTTTTTCTGCATAGTATTATCATTGACCTGCTTCTTGGATTATATAGAAACTTAATGTTTATTTTTTATTTTTTTCAGAAATGGCAGCACAAATGGAAATCTATATTAATAGAGTACTTTACTAAGCGAAGGAGATTAAATAGAAGCCAGAAACCAACAAACTTGGCAAACAAGGAAAGAAGCCTGTTAGCCATAAGACATGTTACAAATGCATCAGCGTCCAGTAGCTGTAGCCTTCAGAAGAAAAAAGTTGTCAGAAATTTTGTCAAAGCAGACAGGTCAGTGATAAATAACTCCTAGTAATAGGGTTAGGCCTGAAACTAAAATAATTAGAACAAATTGGATCTGAATGAAGTTTATTTTAATAAAAAATAAAAACTTCTGAAAATAATAAATTAGAATTCATTTTCTTCAGCTTTCCATTTCCCTGTTCAACAGAGAGCAAATACCTTTCAGCATTCATGCCAGCTTTTCTCATATCTTAGGAATTTCAGAGAGCAACCTTACTTGAAATACCTGGTATTTCTGTTGGAAATGTACATCAGTATAAGTTAAAGTCAATTTTTAAGATCTGCTCTTTAGTAATAATACTAAATTCCTAAGTACTTAGATCTGCACCTACCTGAACACAGTTCTCAAAAAGGCCTCAGAAAGGAAGACATTACTCAGGAATAATGTCCATTCAGGAGAAATCAAAAGAAAATTCCCCCAAAGTTACTAAAGAAATTGAAGATGAGAATTTAGAACTAGAAATTGAAGGTTCTCAAAACAGTCTAGTAAAGAAATCAGGTTCCAAGGAAGCTGTCAAAGCACTGGTTAAATCTTCCAACAAAAGTAAAGTAAATCAACCTGAATTGGGAGCACGCATGAGTACAAGGTCAGCATCTGCAGCTGATAAAAACACAACTAAATCCATTAATAAAAATATGGTAATTGTGAAGGCACAATCACAAGAATCTACAAAAAAGAGGAGATTATGTCAGGAAAAATTAGCACTTGAAACTGTCAAAGGAAATGAACAACTTACCCGGAGATCACAAAGACTGCAGCAGTTAACAGAGTGCTCAACCAGGTCTTTGCGCAGTACAGGGGTTCAGCGGCACACGCAAGCAGGGAAACAGACTTTGCGACCAGCAAGAAGAGAGCAGTGCAACAACAGCACTCAGAATAGATCTAATAAAGTCACAGCAAGTCAGAAGCATGTGAAAAGAAAAGGGCTGGAAATAGAGTCTGATTGTAAGGAGGACAAAAGTTCAGTTACGAATGAAGTAATACATTCTCCCAAAGGAAAGAAGCGCAAAGTACAGCTTCAGACAGCTTATATTTGTAGTTCTCAGTGCTTCCAAGGGTCTGAGAAGTGTTGCCAAAAGACTGTTAGAAAAGAAGAATCAAAACCTGTGCCTGTAACTTCTGAGGTTAGAAAATTCAAAGCAGCTACTTCAGTGGTCTCTAAAAAGAATGAACCGAGGAAATCAGCTCACACACAAGTGAATACTAGCACAAAATTCCCTGAAATTCCACAACCATTAGTGCCTGAACAAAGTATTGATCATGAATTGGAGCAAGCTGGAAAGAATAAGCGAGGTAGCATTCTCCAACTTTGTGAAGAAATTGCTGGTGAAATTGAATCAGATACTGTGGAGGTAAAAAAGGAATCGTCGCACATGGAAAGGATAAATGAGGAGAAGCCTACAGAAGTCACATCGGAAGGGGCTGATGTTGAAAGACAAATGCTCCCTCAGAAAGAAACAAACCAGAACATGCAGTGTAACCGTTTCTTTCCCAGTAGGAAAACAAAGCCTGTGAAATGCATACTAAATGGAATAAATAGCTCAACGAAGAGGAACTCCAACTGGACTAAAATTAAACTCTCAAAATTTAACTCTGTGCAACAACATAAGTTGGACTCTCAAGTATCTCCTACATTGGGCTTACTACGAACTGGTTTTTCACCAGCAGTTTTAGAAATGCCTCACTCAGTGTCTCAGAATACATTCTTAGATATGAAACCACATAGTAGTGTAACTTGCCAACAGGATAAAATGGAAGGAAGGAAATCTGAAGAAGTTAAAATTAATAATATTGCTATCGAAATTAATAAAGCCATGAAGAGGGCTCCTGGAAATTGTCATTTGGATAATCATATTAAACCCTCTCCTGATTCACCATTGGATAATCAGATGAAACATTCTTGTGAGTCAGCACCAAATAAGGTAATCATCTTTATTATGTGCAATAGAGGTGCCAAGTTCTTTCTATTACTAAATATTGGAAACATTTTATATCAAGAATTGATAAAGTTGTTAGCCCAGTCTTATGGTCATGGAATGGAGCTCTCAGAGTGTTCCACCTTTATGTGTATGCTTCTCGTGTTTCCTTGTTACCATTTCTAGTTTATGGAGAGCATAACTAGAAATATAGCTCTTCATTTTATCACACAGTAGTCCCTTTTTAAGAAAAAATTAATTTAAAAACAGAAAGCATATGTCTTAGTGATTTAAAATCTAGAACTTAGAACTTGTGCCCATTTCTGAGATATTAAGATTTTGAGTTGCACCCAGGCGGTATTGACATACACCTTTAATCCCAGCAGAGGCAGGCTGATCTCTGTGAGTTCGAGTCCAGCCCGGTGTATAAGAGCTAGTTCCAGGACAGGCTTCAAAGCCACAGAGAAACCCTGTCTTGAAAAACCAAAATAATAATAATAATAATTTGGGTTGGAGACATAGTTCAGCAGTAGAGCGCTTGCCTAGCATGTGTGAGTCCCCTCCCCCCAAAAAGCCCTAAAATTTATTTCAACTATGATAAAACAGTCTGTTTTACCTGAAGAAATGTACAAGTTAAATTTAAATGTCTTTAAAAGAACATCTTTGTGTTGATTTGTTCTTTTTTGTTATTGTTTGGTGTTGGTGTCCCGTCCTCCTCTCCCCCCCAACAGGGTTTCACTGTAGCTTTGGAGCCCATCCTGGAACCTAGCTCTTGTAAACCAGGTTGACGTCAAACTCACCTGTCTCTGGCTCCTGAATGCTGGGATTAAAGGCGTGCGCTACCATTGCCTGACCTTTGTGTTGATTTCTATGGCAGTTTTGAACAATTGGCAAAGGAAATTTCTAAAAGTATAAATCAGTATTTTAAGAGAAAAATTATGTTTTTTTTTTTTAAAGTGGTACTGAGGATCAAACTAAGATGAGTCTTACATAGGCTTGGAAATCCTTACTACCACTGAACTATATCTACCAAATCAAAAATTAACAAAAAAATAATTGAAATATTGGAATTGAAAAAATAATTGAGTATGTGGAATATCTAATGCTTACTTTGGGAAATTATTTTCAACTTTTATCAAAGTGGTTGAAGCTTTTTCTTTCTAAAGTTATTTCTAAGATGAAATGCTGAGTTTCTTAAGTATAGAACTTGGGTGCTCTCTATATTACAGGTAAATTTATATTAATTTAATTTTATGAGAAAACAAGAGAATGTAAAACAAGTCACATGTGTTATGATAGGTTTTAGGGCTAATACACATGTTTTCTAATTCTCAGCATGAGCACCATACTCTGATATCCTGAACATGAGAAAATCATATAAGCTAAAAAGGTTATTTTTAATAGATATAAGTCCCTCTGAAGTTTTCAGAATACACTTTAGAGACATTTGGGCTATGACAAAACTTGAGTGAGATTGAATTTATGCAAAAACTAGGAAAAGCAATGTCCATTGTGCCTGGATTGAAAACCAAAGTGAACTTAAAAAGAACAGATGCTAGTTGTTGCTTTTAGATCGAATGTTTTATGTGAATGAAAATGAAAGCCTCAATTAGAAGATGATCATTCGAAATGTTTAATAGATAACGGCAGCAATTAGAAGTGAGCAGTGAGTAGTATTAGGAGCAAGTGTTGGGGCTGGAAATGGAGTTTAATGGTGGGCTGCCTGCCTAACATGTAGTGTGCTGGATCTGGTTGCAGATCCAGTGGGGAAAATGCCTTTTTATTTGGGGTTGTGTCCAAGTGTAATGGTTGAGTGCCTTTTCTAGCTCCTGCTGCATAGATGCTTTTCAAACATTAAGAGGTGGTTAATGAGAAAGGCCGGAAACTAAATCAATTTACTCAGGAGATCTTATCTATTTCCCCTTCCTAGGTAGATCCATTTATGTTTCTCTTAGGGTCCTCTTTGTTACCTAGCTTCACTGGGATTGTAGGATGTAGTCTGGTTATCCTTTGCTTTATGCCTAATATGCACTTATAAATGAGTACATCCCATATTTGTCTTTCTGGGTCTGGGTTACCTCACTCAGGATTTTTTTTTTAGTTCTATCCATTTGACTGTTAATTTTAAGATGTCTTTTTTTTTTTTTTTTTTTTTTTAACCACTGAGTAGTAATCCAATGTGTAACCACATTTTCCTTATCCATTCTTCCATTGAGAGGCATCTAGGTTGTTTCCAGGTTCTGGCTATTATGAATAATGCTGCCATGATCATAGTTGAGCAAATGTTCTTGTTGTATGATTTATCATCCTTTGGGTATATGCCCAATAGTGGTCTTGAGGTAGATTGATTCCCAGTTTCCTGAGAAACCACCATACTGATTTCCAAAATGCTGTACAAGTTTGCACTCCCACCATCAATGGAGGAGTGTTCCCCTTATTCCACAGTCCTCCCCAGAATAGATTGTCATCTGTATTTTTGATTTTAGCTGTTCTTACAGGTATAAAATAGTATCTCAGAGTAGTTTTTATTTGCATTTCCCTGATGGCTAAGGATGTTGACCAATTCCTTAAATATCTTTTAGACATTTGAGTGCCTTCTCTTGAAAAATTCTCTGTTTAGATCTCTTCTCTATTTTTTAATTGGATTATTTGGTATTTTGGTGTTCAGTTTTTTGAGTTCTTTGTATATTTTGGAGATCAGCCCTCTTTCAGATGTGAGGTTGGTGAAGATCTTTTCCCATTCTGTAGGCTGCTGTTTTGTCTTGTTGACCATATCTTTTGCTTTACAGAAGCTTCTCAGTTTCAGGAGGTCCCATTGTTGCTCTCAGTGTCTGTACTACTGGTGTTATATTTAGGAAATGGTCTCTTGTGCTGATAATATTCAAGGCTACTTCCCGCTTTCTCTTTTATGAGGTTCATTGTGGTTGGATTTATGTTGAGGTCTTTGATCCATTTGGACTTGTTTGTGCATTGTGATAGATATGGATCTATTCTACATGTTGATATCCATTTATGTCAACACCATTTGTTGAAGATGCTTTCTTTTTCCTGTCGTACATTTTTAGCTTCTTTGTCAAAGATTAGCTGTTCATAGTTGTGTGGATTTATGTCAGGATCTTTGATTAGATTCCCTTGGTCATTGGTCTGTGTGCCAATACTAAACTTTTTTTTTTTTTTTTTTGGTTTTTCAAGACAGGCCTGTCCTGGAACTAGCTCTTGTAGACCAGACTGGCCTCAAACTCACAGAGATCCGCCTGCCTCTGCCTCCCAAGTGCTGTGAAAAAAGGCATTGTGCCACCACTGCCCGGCCACTAAACTGTTTTTATGACTATGGCTGTATAGTAGAGTTTGAAGACAGGAATGGTGATGCCTCCAGAAGTTCAGGATTGTTTTAGTTATTCTGTTTTTTTTTTTTTTTTTTTTTTTTGCATGAAGTTGAGTATTGTTCTTTTGAGGTCTGTGAAGAATTTTGCTGGGATTACATTGAATCTGTAGATTGTTTTTGGCAATACTGCCATTTTTACTATGTTAATCCTAGCTATCCAAGAGCATGAGAGGTCTTTCTATTTTCTGATGTTTTCTTCAGTTTCATTCTTCAAAGACTTAAAGTTCTTGTCATACAGGTCTTTCGTTTGTTTTGTTAGAGTTACCCCAAGAAATTTTAAGTTGTTTGTGGCTACTGTGAATGGTGATGTTTTCGTGATTTCTTTTTCAGCCCATTTATTATCTTTATATAGGAGGGATACTAATTTTTTTTGAGTTAATTATGTATCCTGCCACATTACTGAAGATGTTTATCAGCTTTAGATGTTCCTTGTTAGAAATTTTGGGTCACTTATGTAAACTGTCATATCATCAGCAAATAGCAAAAGTTTGACTTCTTCCTTTCCAGTTTGTATCCCTTCATCTCCTTTTGATGTCTTTTTGTTCAAGCTAGAACTTTGAGTGTTTGAATAATAAATTGGACAGAGCGGACAGCCTAGTCTTTTTTCTGATTTTAGTGAGATCTCTTTGCATTTTGTCCATTTATTTTGATGTTGTCTGTTGAGTTGCTTTTATTGCTTTTATTATGTTTAAGTATGTTCCTTGTATCCTTGAACAACTACGACCTTTTTATGATGGGGTGTTGGATATTTTCAAAGGCTTTTTCTGCATCTGCTGAGATGAGTATGTGTATTTTCTTTCAATTTGTTATATGGTAGATTACATTGTTGAATTTCTCTATGTTGAACCATCCCTGCATCTTTGGGATGAAGCCTATTTGGTTATGGCGATGATTTTTCTTATGTGTTCTTGGATTCGATTTGCTAGTATTTTACTGAGTATTTTTGCATCAAGGTTCATGAATGAGATTGGTCTGTAATTATCTTTCTTAGTAGTGTCTTTGTGTCTTTTGGGCATCAGGGTAATCGTAGCCTTGTAAAAGGAGTTTGGCAGTGTTTTTTTCTGATTCTTTTGTGTGGAACAATTTGAGGAGTATTGGTATTAGCTTTTCTTTGAAGTATTGATAGTAGAATTCTGCACTGAAACCATTTGGCCCTGGGCTTTTTTGGTTGGGAAACTTTTGATGATTGTTTCTATATAAATATAAATATAGGTAGATTTTTTTATCTGGTCTTGATTTAATTTTGGTATTTGGTACTTTCCCAGAAAATTGCTCATTTTCTTTTAATTATCTGATTGTGAGGAGTACATGTTCCTGTGGCCGTGAGAAGTAAACCCTAGTTTATTAGGGAAGGGCAGGGATAAGGGGAAGGAAATGTGATTGACCAGCAGTTGCCTAGGCATTGGCCCTGGCCTACTCCTGGCAATTCTCCTTTGTGCCTGCAGATCCAGAGGGGTGGGTGATGGTGTTTGTGGTGTGTGTGGGAGTTGGGGGGGGGTACATCTTGCCACTGTGTGTATGTCTTGTGCTCACATGCAGTGGCCCAGTGCACAGCCTCAATGAGGTGACCCTGGTGGAGGTGACAGTGGAGGGGACAGGCGATGAGAGACCGCTGTTGCAG